TTTTTTTTTTTTTTTTTTTTGCAGATTATATTTGTCCTTAAGCCAGTTGTAAGTAAGCTAATTTCTCTATGTACGTTTTTTGTTAATTATAATTTTGAGATCAATATTTCTGTAGGTATCATGTATGACGTGCATTATCTTCCTATGTAGAATGAAACAAAGGGCGATTACTTCAACTTGGTCTTGTGCATGGCGCAGGGGGCGTGTCGCTCAGTAAGTTTCACACAAGCGCATGTATATATTCGTGTTACACTTTATCGAAATCGAGCCCAGGGACGCAAGAAAAGTGGAAAGGTAAATACAAAATAATGCGGGTGCTTGCGTTTGGCTCATTTACACCTAATACACAAATGTGAGTTATGTATGCACGCCTACGAACACATGTTTGCATAGGGTGGTTCATGTGTACATCAGTCTGCCTGCTACCAGGGGCGCTCTCCCATGCGTATGGTGCTTATCTGTGTGGCGATAATCTGGGGGTCGCTAATATGTGTGCCTCTAATCTGGGGGCCGCTGATGTGTGCCTCTAATCTGAGTGCCGCTGATGTGTGCCTCTAATCTGAGTGCCGCTTATCCCTATGTTTACTATACATGCATATCTATGTACACGGGGGGGAAAAAATACTGTTCGATTGAAGCACAAATATGTTCACCCTTGTTCAATGAGCTCTTCTCACATGGAAAAGGATGATGGCATTTCTTTTCCGTCCTGGGTACAATAGGGGGTAAGGTTCTTCTTCGCTGCGCCTTTGCTATGTTTATACTGCGTTTTTGCTGTGTTCTTCTGCGTTCTTCTGCGTTCTGTGTTTTTTCTTGCTTTTTTTCCGCTCTTTCACTTTGTTCCTTCTGCGTTCTTGCTGCGTTATTGCCGCGCTTTGCTACTTTTTTTCTTGTTTTATTTTTTTATTTTTTCCCGTAATATGCGCTTTTCATGACACGTTAGTCGCTGCGATTGCATTCCTTTCACGGAATGCTTCCCGAAGGCGTATGCTCGTGGCACATTTATTTTCTCGTGCTGCGATTTTGCTACTATGGCAATCCTTTAACCTTTTTTTTAATTTTAATTTAATATCGTTTTGCTTTGTTCGTTTGTGTATATATATATTTTTATTGCACTTTTCAAATGAACTGAACAGAAAAAAAAAAAAAAAAAAAAAAAAAAACCTAAAACCTGTTTGACCTTACCTAAGCAACTCATCAGAATGGCGAGCATATGTAAATTTTGCGCCATGGCATATTTCACATTTTGGGAATACCAACAAATTGAGAAGCGGAAAAGAAGACCGCTCTTTTGATGAGAAGAGGAAGGTGTACAGCCAGATGATTGGAGCGAATTGGCAGAACACACATGTCCATCCCTCCTTCGCAACTGTGAAATGAATTTTTAAGAAAAAGAAGAGAAAATGGAAAAGGGGGAAAAAAAAAAGAATTAATTTTATCATCCCATTTTGTATACCATATCACAGTAGGCATATTCTGACTCCCCTTGTTCTGCCCAAATGCTGAGCGCAAAGTCGAATTTCAGAACTTTTAGCTTTTCAGATGGTTATCCTCTTTGTATGTCTGTTTGGGGCCCCTATCTCATCTTGTGGCTAGCTTGTCTGTCCCCCACACCATTCCCTTTCTTGAATTAATTAAAGATTCAGAAATGCGGTTCAAGTGAAGCCCAATACGACCGACTTTTGAAATGATACTCCTTCCCCCCTTATCCACCAAATGGATCAGTAAAAACATATTTCACAAAGGACGACCCCGTTGCCTTCCCCCATCACTCAGTTGTTATAACCGTTGCCACCACATTTCCTACTCCATGCTTATGTCAAATGAGGTGTAAAAAGAAAAAAAAAAGATTCCATTATTCCCCATGATCGATTATATTTTTTGCCCCTCTCTATTGTGCAATTAAATGTGTAGTTAACAGTCCTTCTGTTCTTCCATCATGAAGCAGCTCACCAATTTGCTGCGCCATACGAGAATAAAAAAAAAAAAGAAAAAAAAAAAACGAAGCAAATTCGAATGAAAAAATACACATTTAAGAAAAAGTTTGCACATATGTCTATGTATACACAGTGGACACGTCTAATAGGCACATAACCACGACAAGGGATAAAACATCTCACTTTGTGCAATGCATCACTTTTCTGATGTTATTAAAAATGGGAAGGAAAACATAAATTGCAATTTGTTTTTTTTTTTTTTTTTCCGACGTCCCTACGCTTCTCCCCCATGGCTGATTGTTCTTTACGGCGAGGGAAAAGACAACTGGAGGTTATCTAAATTGATGCTACGCTGAAGCATATCTTCCAACTAGTTAAGAATGTTTTAAAATGGTTGCTTGGAGATATGCATAGTATTTACCTTATATCGTTGGAGCAGCCACAAATCCTCTTTTCTAAAACTGTCACTGCGCAGTGATGTATGGGGGCATTTGTGGGAAGTAATGGGGATGGAATTGCTGGTGGCTCGTTATGTGCATGTTTGAGCAATTAAGCTTGGTGGGAGGAAGAAAATTCACCATTTTGTTTTCCCCAATGGAAGCGGCTCGTTCGTTAGCGTATTTGTTTGCTTACCTGCCTCTTTACCTTCCCCTTTTTACAATGTAGTACATTTGAGCATCTCAATAATGGGGAACCTCTGCAGATGGAGAGTTGCAAAACATTCCCTTCATTGTGTCCGCCTCTGCAGACGCAAACGAGCATGTGCAGGTAAAAAAATAACCTTACGCAAAGAATAAAAAAAAAAAAAAAACATACACCTTTTTTTTGTGTCTCCCCGTATCCATCCCTTTGACCACCCCCTTTTGTCTTATTGCCTTTCATGCGAAATGAAATTTTTAACCCGCAACAAAAAAGCGGGACGCAAGAAGACCTTAGCCACAGTACATATGCCTCAATGACCGGGTTTCTCCATATTAACACGAATATATAAACATACAATACTTGCAGATATCCGTAAAGGGATACATTTTGCACGGAAAATATAATATAGGAAAATTATTTTTATTTTTCCAAAAGGGCACTCCCCAACGCTGTTATAAAGGAAAAAAATGAAGTATCAAGTGGAGACGCCTTTAAAGTGTAATTCATGAATGTACACGTGAGTACGCGCGTGATATTATGCCAACACATGGTGAACACTAATCGCAATAATTCTGTCGAAAGGTTGCTTCGTTTTTTTCGGGATTGGCATCACTGTCTGTGCCTTCTTCCGCCGGTCTATTTACACGCATGCGAAACACAGGTATAAATGTCTATCCAATTGTACACTTACACATACGCGTACACACTAGCAACTCCTGTGATGCGAAAAGGAGCAGCACTTGCCTGAACAGAAATGCATATATATTTTTTTTTAAAGAAGGCTTTTCATCCTATTTATTTCCGAATACATAAACAGCAAAATATATTTGCTTCTTCCGAGAAGTACTTCTTCAACCGTCAATTCGTTCCTCTTTTTTTTTTTTTTTTTTTTACCCTTAAATTTTATTGAATGAAGGGGAAAAAATGTAAAAGATGGAAATATACACATGGATGTAGCAGCGTGAGGATAAAAGCAAATTTCTTCGACACGCACATCATAGCCTTAAAATTGTAAAGATGCATTAATATACAATCATTTTTTTTTTTTGCCTCCCCCACTTTTTAAAACGTGCGCTTTATGCGTATGTTTGTATACATACATACGTTGCGAACGAAATGTACCTTTTCTCTCATTTGAGTAGGCAGGGAAGAATGTTTAATTTTTAACCCAATTCTGTAATTATTCGTACGCATGCGAGTTTTTTGGTACCAAGGGGGGCACGCATAGTTAGTTGCACATGTCAAGTGAAATTATCCGACAGTTTGTACATATGTAGTTATACGTACGTAGGTATGCATGTTTTTTTTCTTTTTTTTTTAAGTGTAATGGTTTTTAAAAACCATGTGTTTTTCGTCGCCCCCCATTTTTAATTGCGTTCTCCATTTTCCCATTAAGTGATGTTAATATTGTAACAAAACGGGGAACAGAAAAAAGAAAAAAAAAAAATATGGTGGATAATGAATATCATGATGTCCTTGACACATCTCACGGAGTAAATCCATTGGACAGCATAGGTGACTAAAACAAAAACCACATCACTCGCTTTGCGAATCAGAACTTAGAGATTGGTTGTACCAATTAAAAGAATGGCAGAGCGGAGGGAGAAAGCACGAAAAGACTGCTGCAGGGAAGGACTTCTGCAGGAAAGGGCTTCTGTGCGAAAAGACAGCCGCACGGAAGACCATAGAACAACAGCCTGGCGCGTTGTGTGCCAGTGAATGCGCCACGGAGCGCCCCATCGATGAGCAAAAAATGATGCCCCACCGAAGAAAAAAAAAGAACTTTTTCTTCGTTTGTCTTTTGTGCCGTTCCGTCACATAAATGTATGCATATAGATACATATACATACACATATATATGTTTGTCTATTTTTCCTCCCATATATCAACAGGAAAAAAAGCAACTAACTGGAATCCCCGTGGGCCCGAAAACGCGAAAAGCGACGCGATCCATGATGGCGGCAAGAGGCACACAATCGAAATGAAAGGAACCACGTCGAGAAGCGGAAGCATTAACTTGTACAATAACATAACCGATAGCCTGTCCAAATTAAAAACGATAATAAAATATAACCAGGAAAACGATGTGGATAAGGGAGGGGGTAAAGCGCAACAGGGGAAAGCACCTGAAGGAGGGCACTGTAAACTAGCTAAAGAAGGCCCTAATGAAGCAGCTAAGTACCCTTTCTTGGGAGGGACGAAGACTGCCGATGGGAATCCAACCCACAGGCAAAGGGATGAGAGGAAAGCGCACAGGAAAAACAACACAGAGAGGGAACTGTTGAGGAGTATAGCCAAGGCAAATTCGTTAAAAAAAATAGAAAAAAATATAAGTCTTTTGTTAAGGTCGGATGACGAAGAGGGGGAGGTGGATGTGGAGGAAGAAAAAGAGGACCAGCATTTGAAGAAGCCGCAGCAGCACCTGAATGACATGAACCATTTGAAGAAGCCGCAGGAGCACCTGAATGGCATGAACCATTTGAAGCAGCCGCAGCAGAATTATTACGGAAGTGATGAATGCGTGGCAGTGGGACGTGGCACTGTGTTAGCACCGCGGCGTGATTACCACCCAAGGGAAGACGGTTTGCCAAACCGACCCTACCTCTTTATTGCGCAAACCGATGGGTCAATCAGAAATAACATTTGCGACGAAGCAGTCCAAATGGACAGAGACGATAATTATAGGATCAATGCTAATTATAAAATGGGAGGAAAATTGGACAGTCTCGAGAAAATTCCTAAGTTTAGCAGAACAGGGAGCAAGGACGAAATAGGTTATAGCAACCACCTGGTGCGGAGTGGGTACGCCAACATGGTCGATACAGATATGGCGCACAGCACGGATGGTCCTGCGGGGAAGAACCAACTGGATTTGTCCCTCATGCCAACGGAGGACCTTAAGAAGGAGTTTAGCTTTTACTCCCTGAGCGAAAAGAACAGCGTTCACAACTTTTCCCTCCACAATAATGACATGCTGGATCTGAGCCAAACGTCGAATTTGTCGAATTTTTCCCATTTTTCGAATTTTTCGCATCTTTCGAACGGATTGAGGGGATCCAGGAGGAACAACTTCATCAAGGGGTTCAAGCCGAAAGAGGCAACACTCAGCGATGGCAATACGTCAGTCAGCTCGTTCACTTTCAACGGGAATGCCAGCAACTTCATCGGCAGGGACCTGGCAGGGGAAGACGAAACTGACCGGCGTGACGATCATGGTGAGAATGCCCATCATGGCGGACACGGAATCAATACACCTATTGACCTGAACAGTGATTACAGTTGGAAGATCCATGGCAGAGTTCTCTCCGCCGCATCGAACAGCATGGAGAATAAAGGGTTTCCCAAGAAAAACAAATCAGACATATATATAGCGATGGATAATACTAGCAGTAATAGCGGAACGTACTATGAGAACAGCCTCAAAAGTAACAGAAGCAATTTAGGCACTAGTCGTCAGAACACTTTAGATGAGAGTCATAGGACTTACTTAGCTAGTGGAGATTACTTTGATCCAAATTTAAGTCATACGAAGTTAGACAAAAATGCCTTGCCTGGTCATACAAATTTTTACACCAATCATACTGAACTGAATGAATCGATGCATAATTTACATTTTAACAAAACACACCGGAATGGTAATTCTTCCAGTTGGGTAAAAAGTGGTGAAGGGGCTTCCTTAAAAAGCACTGGCACATTTGGCAGCAAGAAATACCTCAATCTGAACAACAGCAATAATGTAGATCTGGCCCATTCACAGATGAGCGTAAGAGCGAAGGGAATCACAACTAACCACGTGAGAGATGAACGAGCGACAGGAAAGAGAAAGGAGAACGTACACCTTGGATCAAACATGGATTTCGACAATAACATTTTTAAGAATTTCAACAAGGAAAAGAAATTAGAAGAAGAAGAAGGAAAAAAATATGGACGCGATGTGGAAGGAGTACTGTCCGAGGAAGTGATGAGCGAAGTACTCACACACGCTGTTTCATGTGGTAAAGCTGCAGTGAAAGACGAAGCGGATGATACTCTCCCCATTAGTGAAGACAATGTGGATAGGAAAAATATTAACGAAATTTACAAAAAAATCAACTCCATTTCGATGCTCAATGATCTTAGTCTGAACAAGTTGGAGAGTCTCAACAGCAGCATTATAGACATGTATACAAAAAATAATGAGGAGGATGGCAAATTTCTCGATGATATAATTTTGGATGATAGTATATTTATTAAGTCTAGCAGTCTCTACCGAGAGGAAGGCAGTCCGCATGACGCCACCAGTCAAGGGGACCTCCTCCCCTCCGATGAATACAGAAACCATTACACAAACGATTACACAAACGATTACACAAACAATTACAGAAACGATTTCAGAAACGATTACAGAAACAGGTTTTCCTTTTCGTCTGACCCGGATGCGGCGGATAGCCTTTTTAAAATCTCCCTCAGTTGCAACGAGGTGGTTCTCCCCATCGGTCAAGCCTCTCGTCTAAGCGGTGAAACTGGATCCACCTATAACAATCGCGCAGGCGGGGAGGAGGCGAAAGAGGAACAGCAAAAACCTACAGAAGCTGGACATACAGCAAGTAGGGAGTGCGAACTGGAAGCAACTCACTGTGAGTTTAAGAAACGTGCGGAAGGGAGAGGGACGTCCACATTTAGAAAGACCACAGAAGCGGAATCCCAACGAAGGAGAAACTCAATCAATCAGCTGAAAGACAAGTATAGCAAAAGGAAGGATGACACGATGGAAAACGAAATGAAGTTATCCGAGTTGCCTTCCCAGTTAGATAAAAATATGCTGCTGAAAAATACCTTAACCTTGCAGCGGATTTATAACAATATGGAGTGGCGGAAATCCAAGACCACCGCCTTAGACCAATTCACAACCCCTTCCTCCAGTGACCTCCTACCAAATGAGACGGATCTCATGGCGAAAAATAGTATCTCTCGATTGTGTGCCAACAAGACGGACACGATAAATCGGTTTTCAAAGCACGACATGTATGTGCATGACGATAAATTATCTACAAAAGAGTTGAATAATATGCCGAACTTATTTCTAAGCAAGAGCGTGTTTGCGAAATGCCCCGACTTGGTCAGTAACCCCTCCGGTATGAACGACACATTGGGAAACGCATATGAGGATGCTCCAGATGATCGGCATGCACTTCCATCACGAGAGCATCACATAAGAAGTGAACCCAACAGTTTTTCAATTAGTAATTATTCTTCCCTCACAGGGAAGGCAGAAAAGGGGGATGAGGTCAAGCAAGGCAATTCCTTCTCATCATACGCAAAAACGGATGAGAAGGGCAGCAATGGAGATCCCCCCCACTGTTTCCGCGGCGGCATCAGCGGGGGGATGAGGCGCAAGAGAAGCATAAGTGACTGCGAGGGGGAAAGCGCAAACGTGTATAATGATAGCAGTGTGGACAGAATCCACAGTGACAATATAAATGGGCTGGGAAACAGTTACGCATATGATCCAAAGGAGGGGAAATGGCCTAACGGGGGTGCCGATACTGGGGCTGACTCCACCGGTCGTGAGTCTTCCGTTGGTCCACATAACATGTTCATACGTGGAAGCAGAAGTAGCATGCGGAGCAGCGGAAAAATGGAATGGAGTAGACTGTGTGAGGCGAAAGGGAGCACGGAAAATGGGAACAGAGAAAATGGGAGCAGGACAAATGGCAGCAAGACAAATGGGATCAAAACAAATGGGGGGAAGGGCTCCAGTGAAGAGTCGAACAGCGTGACGAATGACTTGGTCATATCGAAAAGGGTAAGCCATTGCGCAGTTAACCACGTTAGTGGTGCATACCCAGATGAAGAAATAGCCACCGGCGAAGAGGAAGAAGTTGCCCGTTTTATGGCCAACACAAGTGAAGACACCAATCCTATGCGTAACGTCTCCTATGACGGAGGTGTCAAAATTGGAAAGCTGGGGGAAAGTGGAAGTGGCAACCCGGGACAAAGTCGAAATGGCGATCCGGGACAAGGTCAAAATGGCAACCCGGCAGAAAGTCAAAATGACACCACATCACCTTTTTTAAGACAACTGAGCAGGAGGACCGACTCCCAAAGATCTCCATCTCTGGTGAGATCCATTGGGAAAGAGGTACGAGCGAATGGAGGTAAATTCCGTCCACTCGATAAGAAGAGCACTCTGGAGGAGGGAAAAATACTCCCAATGGTCAACAGAAAAAATGTAGAGGGAATAAACTACGGATCGCAGCGCTCCAAGGAGGACCAAATTATACACAGCGGAATGACCAGCATGCCAGACATTCTCCACTTTGGCGAGAACAATAACGCATCCGTTTTTTTTTTTGACAATATACATAACTCATCGGAATATGACTCCATTCCGAAGCCATTGCACAGTTCGTACTTTGAAAGTAAGCGTAAGGTTTCTCGGGGAGAGCAGGAAGCAATTGGAGAGGGGCAACCAATTCAATCGAATGAAAACCCATTTGAGAGGATCACCAAGGGAAATGTTTCCCGGACGTCCCCTCTATCGGAAGGGAACCACCCCCTTATCACTCGCTCCAGCATGAATGGAAGCGCACGCTACCCAAGTGGGGAAAACGAAAGACATTTTGAAGAGGACATAATGCGCGAGGACGCAGCAAACAGAAAGGTGAGCGATGAAGGGGTACCTAACAGACAAGGGTATTTAACAAACCAGACTCCATCATGGAAGTCATTGCAAAGAAGTAATAGCAGTGCGTTGTTTAGCGGGCCTAGTGGAAACATCACACCATCAGGTGGTTTCCCCCATGAGCCGACCCTTAAGGAAGACATTCTTGACGATCGAAGGAGCAGCGTTGGTGCAGTTTTCGTAAAAGAAGACGTGCAGGAGATGGGGCCATTGATCGCAATATCACCTCTGCGTAGTGAAGGAACAAACCAACGGAACATCCAGCAAGTGCAGTCCCAGAAGGGTATGCAAGGGAGTGAGAAAGGGACAGAGGAAGGGAGAGAGAAAGATAAAGCCCAAAACGAAGCTGAAAATGACGTACTAGAAACATGCAGCACCAGTTACTCCTTCGAAAAGAGCGAAAAAAGCCAAAGGAGTGCAACGGATCAGCAGAGAGGACAACCAGGGAAACCCTACCAGTATGTACCCCAGAGCGATTACAAAATATGTGAGCATGCGGAGGGAGGCAGTACAAAAATGGCAACAGGGTATGACTCGCCAAATGTAGGAGGTGCAAATGAAGAGAAGAGCAACACGAGGAAGGTGGCAATTCCCCCCAGTGAAGAAAAAACAAAAGTGCAACCTAACTTCTACGATGAAGGAGATAACTCCTCCTTCGCACACGGGGAGGAAAGAAGTAATAGGAGCGTATCACCCTGCAATGGGCAAAGAGGGAACACATTTGCTGGTGAAGAAAAAAGTGCTAACGATTACAGAGGAAAGAAAAAAGGCAACACAAATGGATTCCCCCCCCGAAGTATGCCCGATGATATGCATGACAATAAGGAGATGTACCACTTGCATCAGCGGAATGATAGCAACCATGACGATCTTTTACGCCCCCCCCATTTTCATAACAAACCGAGTGTGAATTGTCAAATGGACCAGGGCCCAGGGGAGAAGGAGCCCGACCACATGGAAAGACAGAATTACGAAGAAGGCTCTATAAGGAATACACACTACAGTAAAAATTCAAATGGCCCTTATGGAGACCCCTACAGATGCAGGAGTGGCCAAGCGGCTTATGTGAGAGAAGGTGAACAAAGCTATGAGCATTCTGGTGATGAATACGAAACGTCTTTATCCAAATGCAGACGGGAAAGCTACACATCACACGGAGGTAACATCGGTGATTACCCCCACGGAAAACATTTCAGTAAATGCAAACGGGAAGACGAGTTTTATTCTAATCACTACATTGATGAAGGGAGAAGAAGTAACGGACACCATTCCAGGAGCGATGCATTAAGTGAAGATGCATATCTCGATGCAGTTAAGGTGGAGAGGGAGGAACAGAACAGGAGCGAGGCGCGCAGCGGGAGAGGTATGCATCACAGAGGGGACAAGGAGCAGCAGAGCGGCGGTTTTCAATCAGAGAAGAACCCGCTAGGCCACAAAAATTCGTATGATAGGATCGACCCGCCAGGAGACAAAGGTGCGTATGATAGAATCGACCCGCTAGACCGCAAAAATTCATATGAAAGGACCGACTCGTTAAACACAATTCAACCGTGCCAAATGAAGCACCCGGGGGTGGGGGAAACGAAGATGAACGGGCATATCTGTGGAAGCGGAAAAGGTACTCATCCAAGTGGCATACACACAGCGGGACATGGCAGAAGAAACACAGAAGACATCGTCGTGAGAAGGACTAACGAGATAATAATGGCACCAGACCGTTTGCACGACCGAATTGATTCTGCCAATCTTGGAGGGAAGAAAGAAAGGAACACACATGACCACGCGGGTGATGATTTCCCTCAAGAAAGGCCAGCACAGGATTACCCATATGCTAGATGTCAAAGCAGAGACGCAAATTATCCGCACGAGGAAGCCAGAAAAAGGGACAACTCTCATGGAAAGCATATTGTAGAAATGACTTCAACGAACTCGTACCAGTTAAAAAAGAATGACCAATTTGAAGAAGGCATGATCCAACACAAGTACAGCAAAAAGGGCACGCAGCATTATGAGGATGGGACTAATCAGCCGATTTATCCCTTCACCGAATTGCTCCCAAATGATAAAATCCATTCTGGTCATCTGGGTAGTCTCGCCAGGGAAGAGGAATTCGTCAATCGCCGCATGGAAGAGAATGTCCGTGAGAAGTATAGCTCTTTGGGGAGATGCGAAGGGTACGAGAATTGGCCCCAAAGAGAGGAGGTAACTGAGGAGCGAGGCAGCGAGAGGTATGGCCCCAGCTGTAGTCGCGGCGCCGACTATCGTTATGGGGGACTCTGCGGAGAGCACCCCGGGGAGAAGTACCACGGGGAGAGGCACTACGAAGGGAAGCACTACGTGGAGAAGTACCACGGGGAGAAGCACTACAGCAGCTACTCCCCTCTGTATGAAAACTTGCACGAACACAGTGCCATGGTTGCCCCCCCTAACAAAATAGAAAAATCGAAAACGAGCGTAAATGTTACAGACCATAATTATCTTTCCAGTGGCGCCCCATATGGAGCAGATTTTCACGCACCAGTTATGCCAAACGGGGCTTACGTAAAGGCACACACGTCTTACGTGGCCTACGGTGCGGGAGCCAAGTGGAAGGGAAACAGTACGCAGCCGGTGGGATGTCCACGCATGGAGGAAAAGAAAGAGGCCATCTATAACTATAAGGAGGAACATTTAAAATATGATATCAAGCGAGATATGTATGAGGGAAAGCACACGGGGAGTACTCACCAGTATGGACCGTACCCACAGATGGATGGAAGAAACAACACTGCACTTGCGTGCGACTACTATTTTGATGAAGGTGCGCGAAACCAAGTTGTACGGAGGTATAGCAAATATGCCCAGGAGGAGTTGAACAGAAAAGGAGAAAATGGAATCATGTTCCACCGTTTTGGAGAGTCAAAGGATGTAGACAATCACATGGAAAGAGTAACACCCGCCCCATCAAGTCAATACAATGGGGGAAGCGGTGGGAATAGCGGTGAAAACAACCGTGGGAACGCCGCTAGCCCAGTAGCGCTTCATTACGAAATGAAAAGAGAGGATCACACACATGGATTGACCCCCCAAATGGGTGATAACTACGCAAATGAGAATAAAACATGGAACTACAGAGAAGGAAAGAATGGACTGCCTTTTAGAAAAGCCAACACGAATTATGAGCAATACAAGGTGGGTAGAGATATGGGAAACAACGGTGATGATCGTATATATAGACACTCGGAGGGGGACACAATGCATAGGGGGGGCATGTCAGGGGGAGCCATCTCAAGGGGGATTTTCCAACCGGATCACAATGCAAGTACGAGCAGTGGAAGGAATGCCAACTACAACGAACTGCTTTACGAATTGTTCAGGGAGAATATAGATAGTCAGGGGAAGGAAAAGAACAGCCAGGTGTTAAACAAAATTATGGATGTCATGATGAACATACAGAATGATTTGAAGGATGTGAAGTGTAAACTAAGCAGGAAGAAGAAAAGTGATCCCCCGGAGCAGGGAGATGTCCCAAGTGGGGATAGCAACCAGCCCAGTGGTAACAGCAGGGACCAGCCAAGTGGGCAGCCCAACGGACAGCAAGGGGGCCAGCGCAGCGGAGAGAATAATAGAAAACTCTGTGATGAGAATAGTGGAAAACCCCGTGGTGATGGTAGGGGCAAGTCAAACTGCCCTGATAGCGGCCCAGCCCGGCGCGCCTCCCCCCTGAATAACCCCGAACAGGACGCGAGCCTGACCCCCGTCCTGAAGAATCTCAACTACGAAGAGGTGAAGGACTCAGCTGTGAGCAAATCGAATAGGCTATACCTGTTCAGCAAATTTTTCACCTCCGTTTTTTACGAGCACAATGTGAAGACACACAATTTTATTATGTTCAATATATACAATACGGAGCAGAAGAGACAGACGCATAAGGTGTCCCTCTTCCTGGAGAGGGATTACAACGATATTTATAGTCATGCCTACAATAACTTACTCTTTTACTCCTTTGATTGTTACACCCTTTATAAATACATAAAGGCCAAGTTCGAAGGAAGTTACAAAATATATGAGAATTCGACTCTGTGTCTTTACATAGAGAACAATTACGAGACGAATTTGATTAATCGGCTCTTCATTGAGCAGAATAATCTGCACAGAAGCAGTTTTCGTCTAAATGAGAAGAGGATTTTGAAGACGTGCACAAAGTATGTGGTGGAGTCTTTTCTCTCCCTGCTAGACAAGCAGGTTAACATAAAGAATGTCATTCCTTTTATGAAGAAGAGGAATTACGAGATGGATCAGAGGAATCTGTATTTTTTCATTTCCAGGGTTAACTTGATGGATAAGATTTTTAGTGACTCACATGGTTTCGAGTGCAACAAGAAATCGTTTGAGAGGTTCTCCCCCAATGTGAGAAATTTCGCCGTTTTTTTTAAGTACATACGGGATGCCTCCAACTTTTATGACTCCCTGGTTGGGGCGGAGGGGGAGGCGACAAAGGATAAACCCTCTTCGCCAGTTCCCTCGGCACGGTCCAACAACGCCGCAATTGTTGCGGCTGCTACGGGTTCTCCCCCACCTAGTCGCAGCTACCGGCTTATCATCGTGGCCCTGCACAAGGGGAAATCGTTCCACTACGACAAGGCTCCCTTCAGCAGCCTCATAAATTCAGGGCAAATCGATATGCACCACTACTACAACAATTACGACTCGATGACTTTCTCCAATGACGAAGTGGTGCTCTTCAACCTGTCCTATGCAGTCCCCTTTTACTACATAGAGTACTACCGGAATTAGGGCCGCGTCGGGGTTCCCACAGTCACGACACACATGAGAGGCACATATGAGAGACAGCCATGACAGACACACATCACGTGCGTAAAAACCCCCATGTGGTGTTTTCTTTTTTTCTGAAAAATTATCTCAATGTGTAGTACCCCTTTTTTTTTTTTTTTTAACGTTCCCCCATTTGACATTTTCCCTTTTTTTGTGTAAACGTTTGAATTTTTTTTTTTAAATCCTTTTCGATTTAATTTTCAAATGTACTCAAGGATTCCCTACACTGGCGGAGTTTGTGCATTTTTTTTTTTCTCTCTCTCCAATTGCTGTGCCTTTGTTTTGATCATTTTTAATGGAGAGCACACCAACGGTGCGTTGATGCGCCGCACTGCTTCCTCCACGATGTCTTTTGAATAACGTTGTTAATAACTGCTCCCATTTTTAATAATTTTTCGGCATTTGCACTGTTGCACTCTTGCGATGTTGGGATGTTGGGATGTTCCACGGCTGCGACGTTGCGACGTTGGGATGGTCATTTTGGAACCCTTGTTGGACACGCCTCCCCCGAGCAGTGGTCCGCTTCTACGTGCCTGTTTCCTCCAGTTTGTTCCTTTTTTTAGCCGTCCTTTTGTACCTACACCAGAGAGTTGTTCAGATAAGTAGCGCGGGAGTGGCCTGGCGTGAGGACAAACCCACATATATCGACGTTCCCCACATCGTAAACCTCACATTTTTTACGAACTTCTCTGCAGCGGAGATGACCTAAATGTGCACACTTCTTCCATTTCCTCTACGCAGGTTACTCTTTGTTCATAACTCGCCCTCCAAAAAATTTAAACTCTTTTTCACTTTTCTGCGCACGCTAATGTGTGTGAAAATTTGTCCCCACAATTAGCTGATTGGACAAACGCCATAAGTTCGTCCGATAGCAAATTTAAGATTTTTTTGTAAAAGGGATATATGTTCGTTCGATAGCTTCAATATGCACGTAGAAAAAAAGAGCATACAGGAAAAGGTGACACGGGAGCGCTACTCAATTGTGTGTTGTATCTCTGCTGCTGCTCGCCCATTAGGTGGATTCCACAAGATGAAGCGCAAAATGGTGCTCACGTTTTCTATGTGTCTTTTTCTATTTTGCTGTTTGTTAAGCGGTCTAGGGATGGGGGTGGCTCATTCCTCAGGAGAAGCCTCTCCTCGAGACAGCTTCCTATCAACCTGCATGGAAGTTATTGACGCGATAACATTCTACGAAGACGAGCTGCAGAACTATAAGTATGACGATGAGTGTGCGGCGTATCGGTACATAGGCAATACCGTTTTGGAAAAACACAACTTGAGTAATTACAACTGCTATGCGAAGATACAGAAAGCGTTGTGCAAGCTGAGCTACACCAGGGTTAACACTCCTGAGGGGGATAGAGGCGAAGGGCATACAGATAGAAAAGGTGAAAGACATCATAGGGAAAATACCACTGAAGAGAATAGTACAAATGAGGTGAACCCCAAAGAGGATTTCCCATCAGAAGGAGATGATGCTACGTGCACCAGAACGAAGGATATGTTCATGTCCTTGCTAAGGAAATGCACAGAAAGGGGATACGGAGACCCCCTGGTCCACTGCGCCTCCCTTGACATGGAAAAAAATGTCATCTCAGATGGGGGATTATTCTGTGAGAGCTCCTTCGAAAGGAAAAAAAATGTCCAGGAAAATGGGCGGCACAAATCAGTCTACGCAAATGGTTATAAAAAAGACATGATTCAAACATTCCATTTTGAGGAACAACAAAGGGACGACTGCATCGGTATGGTTAATCTGTTTAACAGCTGCTCCACTGTTAGAAGAAGCGTCTTTGGAGATACGCCTCCTACCCATTGTGTTGAACAAAGCGAAAAGCACTTTTGCAATAGAAGGCTTCACAAAATGGAGGATAAAAATTATATATACACCTGCTCAGATGTGATAGTGCCTTATTTATTGGGCGCAAAGAATGAGGGGAAGACCTACAGCCAAATGTGCCACGATATAAAAGATTACGCAAAGGTGTTGAAAAATGAAAAAAATGAATTTTTAAAAAAAAAAAAAGAAATACAAGAAAATGTGAAGCATATCAAGATAACGCAAAAGTTGTACAAAATTACGGAACATATTTTCCAAACTCTCCAAGAGGAAGTAGAAAAGTACAACCCAGATTTATTTCACCTGTTTAACCTTTTGAAAAGCCCAAAGATTGTTCTCCCCAATGAGTATATGTTAAAATTGAACGAAATAGCTGATGGAATGACTCACTTGGAGGACGAAATGCGCAAAATGCTGTACCCCACTTTGGATGAGAACAACATTGAGGAAAACGTTTTGCTCGTTAATCAAGCGAAGGCTGCCATAGAGGCGTTCCTGAGCTTGCAGAAGGACATCGTGGTCTCGGTCAGGCAGGTTAATGAGTACATTCGCAAGGAAACCACTGGAACGACAACTTCTGCCCAATCTAGATCTAACCAGTTTGGCAATAGCGCCAGCCTCTTAACCTTGCACGAGCTGAAGAAGCTGCAAAAAAGGCATAAGAGCATTAACAAGAGAGTAGAAGACTATGCTGACAGACGCAGCAACTCCGTTTTCCGCTACCATAATTCCATGATGAAAGATTTCCATAACGATATTGAGAAACTAAATGGATTAATTGAAATTTACACCTCGCAGATTTCTTTGCTAATTGGTAAGGGGTTAGTTGCATGATCGGGCGAGGCGTCCACCTGCTTATCGTTCCCATGCGGAGACGCATCGCGCACTCCATGAGACATCCATGTGTGCATATCAACTGTGTTCATATAAACTGTGTGCGCAACTTTTTCGCAGTAGCATGCGTTAAATTGTTTTTAAAATACTAAACAAGGGGTGAACAAATATGAAGGTGCGGTAAATTGGATGGGCGAAACGAGGGTAATTAAAAGAGACGTGGGGGAAGGGGTGGGTACGGGCGTAGTTAAAAATGATTAGCGGGGCGGTCACTCCGAAGAGGTTTGCAGCCGCATACCCGCAAAAACTAATTCATCAAAACGAAGTACATAATTATTGGTAGCAAAAGGAGAAGCGGGCTCGGGGCGCTCTTGTGCGAACCCCCCCTCTTCTTAGAATCGCCTTGCGAATTATCACTCTTGGGAAGTTGCACATTCCCAGGGGGGTTCACCTGTGTTCCGTTGGCATTTTGTGTTCCGTTGCTGTTTTGTGCCCCGTTTGGGCGATTGTTCCCTACTTGATTGTTGTTTTGCAGGCTCTGTAACACATTCGTTTGTCCCGTAGCTTGAAGCTTTAGCCAGTTTTCTATAGCTGGGTCCGTCCGTTGGCATTCAATTTTGGCGTAAAAAAAGTAGTTCCCCACGTGGAATCCCTGGTCATTGGTTATGTCTACACTCAAGCTTCGGCTGTCCAGCATATTAGTGCTTTCTGGGACAAATAGGCGCCTGGGGAGAATAAGCGGTGAAATGATTTCGTGTTTGCAATGAAATGATTTCGTGTTTGCAATGAAAAGATTTCGTGTTTGCAATGAAAAGATTTCGTGTTTGCAATGAAAAGATATCGGGTTTGCAATGAAAAGATATCGGGTTTGCGCTCAAATGGCATATAAAATGCGGCCAATTAACAACGTGAAAGCGCATTGTGTTGCTGCAATGCCCATTTTTACATGACCCGCAAACTCATCGATGCGGTTATAAGTGGCTATTACTGGTAAAAGGCGAAGGACTGCGTCTGGTGAATGGTAACTGTTTTGAAATTAGTTACATTCAAAGGGCACGTGGGAAGGGAATTGTTTCCATTCGGGGATTGCTCATTTGCTTTTAACGAATCAGAGTTGACGTTGTTTATCCTAACGGATACGTTCAACCCGTTCGCTTTGTTATCCTCTGTGAGCTTCGTTCCATATATGTAAAAGTTTGCCAGCCTGAACAGGTGCTTGTACGCCTCTGTTTTATCTACCCAAGGAAAAGAAAAAAATTGCAAACATGTATGTATATATATATATGTATATATAAATATATATATGTGTGTGTGTATCTCTGTGTGACTGCCCACTCAACTGGTACAGCTAAAGGGAGCCGTGTCTTTTAGCGCCACGCCAGATGCTCTTTCCCGTTGAGTAGAAATACCTGCATTGGGTTCTCCCTTGGATGCCTGGACGAATTTATTCACGTCAGGGACGCACTTGGAGAAGTCGAACAACGCCTTGTCCCACACAAACGGCACACCTACCGAGCCATTTTGGCTATACAGCTAAAAAAAAAATATATGAACAGGGAATAATATTTGGAGAGAAAAAGAGAAAAAGAGAAAAAAATATGAAGAAGCAATAATATTTGGGAAAAAAAAATGACAAACGTAGTTGTGCTGTCATCAGCTGTCGTAAAAAAAGCTAGCTGCTTTCCCGGCTCAAGCATAACAATCTACGTGTTTTTTTTTCTCTCTCTGTTAACATTTGCAGAGTCGACGAAACCCGATGATACGAGGATATTTTGTGGGTTAAAACTTTTCATGCTGCTACACTGATCTCTTGACGTTCCCAAAATGGGACACCCGCCGCAATATGTTACATTTGTGCAGTCTGTACAAAGGGGAAAAAACGGTGTGTCCATCATGCGCAGTTTCGTGGGTTAGTAAGAGCCCAATAGTCATCAGGAATGGGCTGTATATCTGCATATACACATTCATGCACGCATGTGCGACGCGCTTGAGACATACCGGTCAGAGGTACCTTCCCGCTGGCGTCATTCGTTAGGGGAGCGCAGTTGATCGAACTGCATATAATTTCGCTGGTGTTAAATTTATCGTTATTGTCGATCAATTTTGAAAAGACCTGTACAGCGTTTCCATCTGCGGGGAGACTAGACATGGCCATTCCCGATGTGACTCCTTGAGGCGCGTTTGTGTTTGTATTGGGTGCATTTGTGCTATTGCCACTGCCCGCGGCTACGGAGGCGGAGGCAGCTCCAAGGGCGGTAGCCCCTGTTGTACTCAAGTTGCTGCTGCCATTGGGGACGTCTCCATTAGGGTTGTTAACCCCGTTCATGTTATTGGCGCCTATATTATTTCCGTTCATATTATTGGTGGCCATATTATTTCCGTTCATATTATTGGTGGCCATATTATTTCCGTTCATATTATTGGTGGCCATATTATTTCCGTTCATATTATTGGTGCCCATATTATTTCCGTTCATGTTATTAGCGCCCATATTATTCCCGTTCATGTTACTAGCGCCCATATTATTCCCGTTCATGTTGTTATTTCCGTTTATCTTGCTATTCGCATTCATGTTGTTTCCCCCATTCACATTGTTTCCTCCATTCATGTTGCTATTCGCATTCACGTTGTTTCCCCCATTCACATTGTTTCCTCCATTCATGTTGCTATTCGCATTCACGTTGTTATTACCATTGTGGTTGTGCACATTTAGGTTTCGTAAATAATGGTGGTTTGAATTTTTTTTTTTTTTATTAGTCCCCTTATCGTTTTGATAATTACCGTTCTGGATGTTGTTCGATCCGGAAGAATTTGAAGGCCGGAACGAATCATCATCTTCGTCGTCGTTCTCCTGTCCGCTTTCCTGCTCCCCTTGCTCATCCTGCTCACCCCCGTCATCTTGTTCACCTTGGTCATCCTCCTCATCAGTTCTGCGTATTCGATTTCGTATGCGCAATTGTAAAAGAGACTGGTCATTTTTTTTTCCGAACAGAGTGTTTGAGCATCCCGAGAAATGCAAATTATCGTACTTGGTTGGCTGCGCCAAGCGGTAGCTTTGGTTGGATAAAGTATGGCCCCTTTCCCTGCACTTGGTAGATACAGTTACGATGTCTTGCGTGATATGGAACATGTTTTGGAGGGCAATTATTTTGAACACGGCGAAAAGAAACCTCAGTTTCATTTTAATCGCGCGGTGGTTGCATTTTGGTCAGATCGCCTTTGCGTTGCTTTCGGAATTGTCCATTTTGCGCCGCACTTTGACTGCTCCAGTTGCGCAACATTTTGATTGCTCCAGTTGCGCAACATTTTGATTGCTCCATTTGAGCAGAATTTTTATTAATTTTCCTGCTTATTTAATTTTTTTTTTTTTTTTGTAACAGAAAAAGTCAACCCATTCGCCCGCTGGGGTGTTTGCGCCTGGTCAATGTAGCCATCTCGCATACACACCGAAGCCTTTAAAAAGTGTTTAGGATTAACAACTATGCTGCGTGGTGGCCAATTATCCTCGCGTGCGAATAAACGTGTGTACGCGTCGGTACGAATGGCTGCATGTGGACAGGTGAATGCTGACACATACAGATATTCCCATACCCACACACCAGAGGTACACAGATAGTGTTTTTACCTCCCTGTAGAATGACACTACAGGTGTGAAAAAAAGAAAAGAAAAGAAGAAACACTTCCTTTTGAAACCAACTAAATGATGTACTTCCCGTGCCCCTGGGTGCATATAAGCACAGGGTAAAAGACGGGTGAGAAAAAAGAAAAAAAAAAAAAAAAGAAAAAAAATTAATTACAACTTTGTGAATAAGATATGTGCATATTTATGTGTTCCTTTTTCTTCGCTTTAAAAATTGTAATAAACATGCAAACGGGTTGGCTGCAGTTGTCTTGTTTGCATTATTTTTCCTTTTCATCTCATCTGATTGCTTCTCCCAACAAATATCGACTCAGTGAAGGCATATTCGAGGAAGCGCATTATAACTGGAGGGAATTCCTTTCAGCGCATTTCCTTATTTGCCATCCATTTGAAAATTTTGGGAGAAATTGAGCCAAAATCATTCCCCTTCGGGGGGAGAAGTATACGACGCGAGATTTCTAACGCGTGTGAAGATGTGCTGGAACATTTTACCCGTCGACATTTAGTTATATTTGAAAAAAAATGGCATCACATTGATACATGCAAAAAAGGAGATGATGACTCCAAGTGAGGGGCGGATTCCTCTTACGGACAAAACAGCGGTGGTTGGAAGAGACTCTATATTTATGTTCAAGTATCTTTGAGGCGATATTGTGGCCCTATTTATAGTGGGGACTGTTTTGCATTAACAAGATAAAACGAAGTGTATCTTCTTTTTCTTTTTTTTTTACAAATGGGTATAGCGGTGTGTTCCAAAATGGAAGAATAAACGCACAGAATGGTGTACGCTTAAAAGGGGAATCCCCGTTTGTGCCGGTTAAAAAGGCGTTTCCATGGTACACACATGTGCATGGATATGTCTCTACACAGGTATTTTTCCCCCTCAGTTGTGTTAGCCCCTGGAGGAAGGCATTATAATGACCCATAAAAGTAACACTCTTTTTTTTTTTTTCGACTATATCCAAAGGCACAAGGATACGCCAATTCATCTAGAGGAAAACTTTCAAGTTTTTTTTTTTTTTTTTACCCTTCTCGTGTTGTATTTTTTTTTTTGTGAACGATGAAGGTAGGCAAACGGGGGTGTAAAACTTGCTGCGTTTGCGTTGCTTTTTTAAGTGATAACTTGATGATCGCTTTGAGGTGGCCTCTTTTCAAAATTTCGTTTTTTTTTTTCCTACAAAGGAACAATTTGATTGGTTGGGGCTCACCCGCAGAGTGGTACCCTTCACTCCTATGCAATTCCCGTGCATCTGTTCTGGACGCGCTCTGAAGAAACCTGATATATTGTGCGTACAGTGAAGGAAAAATAAGTAAGTGATATATACCTACGGTGGCCAGATTTGTGCCCGTTGCTTATGAGCGCACCCTAGAAGGTTTACGGACCGAGGGGGAGCCACAACGATTATTCATCTATATGCACATACGGGTGTACGCCACATATAGCACCTGCACTTATGAGTACGTGTACCCCTATATGCATTGCGCTTGGTGAAAAATAAACGCAACGGTTAATCTGAGTAGGCGCCCAGAGGGCAGAGGTGAGCAGGGGCGTAAACATATCGATGTTGTAAACGGGACGTAATACGCCTTACTCTTATATGTGCTGAACATCAATTAGGAAAAACGAAAAAAATGGGAGGCAATATCCCCCATATGGATGTATACATGTGCTGAAAAGCAAACGGAGAGGGAATCAGAAAGGCAATCAGAAAGGCAAACAGAAAGGCAAACGTGTACTGTACGCATAGGTACACGCGCAGGTGCATACTTAGCACTGCCCCTCTTAACTTTTTCCTTCCTATTCCATGGAACGCGAGAGGGGGGTGCCCCCGCCCACACATGAGTACTCTTGCGCACGTGCATGGGCGATACGTGCGTAGGTACGTACATGTGAACGCCAAAAAAAAAAGAGGACACCGTAGCATAGCATACCAAAGCATAGCACTGCCTAGTACAGGATAGCACAGCACAGGATCGGATAGAATAGCATCGCATGGCGCATTTATGTAGGCACGAGAGGGGTTGCGTTTGCAAAACAGCAAAGGGGGAGGAAGAAAAAGAAAAGAAAAAAAAGCAGGAACGTACATAAAATGGAAAAAACAAAATAAAAAAAAAATACGTCGAATTGTGCCAATTGCAAACGCATTAACCGAAAGTTTACCTACCGTCGAAGCAATACTCGAATAGAGTTATACCTACGTCAGTAAACACGCATTCAACGTGCAAATTAGCAGGGAGGATTTTAGAGCCCTCTACAAAGGAGCAGCAAAAGGAACAGCAACAGGAAGAGCAACAGGAAGAGCAAAAGGAACAGAAAAGGGAACAGAAAAGGGAAGGGAAAGCGGAAGAGTGAACAAAATCTTATTAACACTTATAAATGAATACAAACGTTCGCGCGAATAAACAGAAATACGCAACAAAGTTGATCAATTTGCTAACCGGTGATTTGTTAACGCCTGATTTGCTAACCACTAATTTGCCAACGCGCGAAATGTGTAGCTTTCGCTTCAACAGGGGAATATAAAACAAAAGCAGTCACTTCACCTCCCACGCACCCACTTTAAAAAAAAAAAAAAAAAGAAAAAAAAAAGGATACAATCATAGGTATAGGCACATATATAGGCTTGGACACACTCCTACGAGAGACCCCCCCACACCCTCCATTTTATGCGCCCGAATATAGTGTAGCTAAATGGAGAGACTGAACGGGATCGTAAAGCAGGTCGTGTCAGCAGATACCTACGTTTTGGCGGGCGCCAAAAAGGGTGAGCAGGAGGGAGAAAAGCAGGCCCATGTGCAACTGCGTAGAAGCGCCACTGTGTAGAGGCGAAACTATGCCAATTCTTTCCCTTACGCACATTTGTTGGTGTGTGGAGGTGAGGCTTGTCCCACCCATCGCCCTCGATATGGAGAAATAATGTGTGCGCGATTTATATGTATCTCCCTGATTTGCATGGCACACCCCCGTTTGTACCCTTCTCCATTTGAGCTATCTCTATACTTATCCATCTTTCCCACCCCTTCCCCCCCGATAGGCGGCGTTGCACAGGAAAGACAAGTGAGCCTGGCGTGCATCCAGTGCCCCAGGTTGTTCATGAAGAGCCAAAATGTAGAAAAGAGTGAGGAGCCATTCGCATGGGAGAGTAGAGAATTCATTCGTAAAATGATCATCGGGAAAAATGTCACCTTCGTAGTAGAATATATTTACAACAACAGAACGTATTGCAGTGTATTTTACGAGGAGCAAAACTTATCAGTGATGCTACTCCAGAGGGGTTACGCCAATCTGGTGTCAAACAAGAATGTCAAAACGAATGTGTATGCCGATTTGGAGAGTTACTACATCGAAGCGAAGGAAAAGAAAGTAGGTATTTTTGGCAGCAACATTAATAGCTATGTTAGGAATATTGTATACTCCTATAATGACAAGAATGAAAACAAGAAAATTTACGACCTGTTTTTAAACAAAAATTTGAAGTGTGTTGTTGAGCATGTGAGGGATGGATCTAACTTTCGTGTGTATGCTGAGATGGAAGGGAATGAGAAAAGGGAAACCAACACAACCGTCGTTGAGGGCACTGCATTGCAAAATGGAACCGTTGGTGAAAGCAGCAGCGGAGTGAAGGGGAAGAAGAAGAAAAAAAGCGCAGGTGGGAAAAAGAACCGAAAAAATAGTGATATCGCCAACGGATCGGGCAGTGATGTCGACCAAGTGGCTAAAGCAACAGTGGGTTACAAAACCATGTACTACTTCTCCTTCACCGTGTGCGGCATCATAGTCGATATGTTTAAAAAGGAAGTAGTGAACAATGTAGAGAACGTCAAGGAGGAGCAGTATGCCATGGAGACGAAGAAGTTTGTTGAGGCGAGATTACTAAACAGAGATATCGAAGTAGTGATAAAGCACATGGATAATAATTGCAATTTGTATGCCAATGTGTTTTATAAGCTAGGAAATATCTGCACTCTTCTGTTGAAGAATGGCTATGCGTATATTAATGAGTACACCATTAAGTATGTGGAAAATGCTATAGAGTATAAGAGGTCCTTGGATGAAGCAATACAACTGAGGAAGAAGAAGTGGGTTAACTACACGGAGAAAAAAGTGGATTACGAAAAGGAGTACCTTGCAACAGTTATTGAGGTTCTCTACGGAGATGTCATCATTGTCGATTATCATAATGAGGAGAGGAGACTCTACATGGCTTCCATCAAGTGTGAAAAGCATAGCACTGATTTGGCTGTAAATACCCTATGCTTATCCGCCAAGGATTATTTGAAGAATCAAATTACCGGGGAAGTGGTAAAAATTGTCACGGAATATGTGAGAATCCCACAGAGCAATAGTGAGGGGTACATCCCACAGTGCTCCGATGACAAGGGAAGAATGCATTTTGTCAGCGTGTACAAAATGGAGAATAAGAAGAAGAAGGAGGAGACCGCAAAAGCTGGCGTGGCTGTGCCTAGTAGTAAGTGGGGCATCGAGGGGGAGGAGAAAAAAAAAAAGAAAAAAAATGCAAAGAAGGGGGGACCAATTAACAGCGGCGACCCGACTGGTTTGGGAGTGAAGAAAAGCGCCAAGATGAACGGGAACGCGGCGGCTCACCTGCGCGAGGAAGACGGAGATGAGGAAGATCACACGATGATCAGCATGAACGAACAACTCGTGGCCAGGGGATTAGCAAAAGTGATGAATCACAGACAGGAAGACGAAAGGGCGAGCAACTATTTCAGACTTCAAGAATTAGAAAAAGAAGCACAGGAGAAAAAGGTGGGAAGATTTAACCCACACATCGATATTATCAAAATCAATAATATAAGTGGAAGCGAAAACTCTTTGCGAGCCAGATCATTTGAGAATGTCCTTAACAAGTATAACAATCTAAACGCCAGTGTGGATTATATTTACGGAGCAAACAAATTCAAGCTGCACATCCCTTCGCAGAATCTGTTAATAAATTTTATCCTACTAGGTATCTCTGTTCAGAAAATTAACTTGAAAGAAATTGGCACCATCAGCACGTCAGCTAGCCAAATGAGGAGAGTCAACGGGGCACTAGCAGGAGGAGAACATTATGACGGGGAAGATGCTCACAATTTACTGAATGGAGATGGCAACTCCAACAGGAAAGAAAAACTCGAGCTGAAGGAAATAGCCATCCAGGCTTACAGATACACCAGAAAAATGCTAATGCAGAGAAATGTGCAAATAACTATCTTAACGTGCGACAAGGGAGGCAATTTTATAGGTATTCTACGCCATCAGAATAAAGATTTCGGGGTGCACTTACTCAGCTTGGGCTATGGAACGCTGAACGAAATCGGATTAAGTAACACCAATGAAAGGAACAATTACGTCAAAGCGGTTGAGGAAGCAAAGAAGGAAAAGAGAAACATCTGGGCTATTCAAAAAATCGATGCAAATGAAGACGACACGGATAATGTTATGCTCAATGGACAAAAAAACGTGTCCCAATTCGACAACATCTATTATTGCTCCTACGTTGAAGATATCAACAATATTTCCATTCAGTTGAAAAGCAAACAGGACCAGTTAAAAAAATTACAAGATGAGCTAAACAAACCAGCCAACTTAGAGTCATCATCACAGTATGTCCTCTCCGAAATTAAAAAAAACACCCTAGTGATTGCCAAATATACGGATAAGTGTTACTACCGGGCTGTTATCCTGCAAGTGAATAAAGCGAAGAAGAAAGCCCTCGTTAAGTACATCGATTTTGGAAATGAGGATGAGCTCAATTTTGAAGATATCCGAAAGTTGAGTGACGGGTTGAACTTAAAAATGTATCCTCCATTCAGCATAAGGGTGTCCCTAGCTGGGGTTAAAATCCCCGTCGAAAATAAAGCGGATTTGATTATCTATGTGAAGAAATTTTTATTGGATAAATTTCTCTACGTTAAGTTTGAAAAAAAGGAAAAGAACAGCGCGTGTTATCACGTCGTTTTTTACGACTACGAGCAGTTCACCACGAACAAGAATGTCAAGAGTGTCAATGAGGACATCGTCTCCAGCGGTATCTGCTACGTGGATAACCGAAGTGACACCAAGATCTTTGAGAAGCTCAAGAAGGAAGAGGTGGTGGCGAAGAAAGCCAAGCTTGTCATATGGGCCTACGGAGATATCGACTACGACGATGAGAGTTGAGTTGCCGCGTGGGGGGGGCCGCACGCGTAGAAGGATACGCTACTTGGAGGCCATACACACGAAGCAGACCACGTTAGTTAGAGGCCATACACACGAAGCAGACCACGTTAGTTAGAGGCCATACACCTCCAGGAGACCACCCAACTAGCCGATTGATTGCTCCACATGCTTATACGTTTCTCGCGAGATGCCGGAGAGACTCCAGAGGCAGCTCCCACGAACGGAATCTTTTTCGAAAATGAAAAATGAAGGGTAGGCCTTTTGCCTCTCCCTCTTTTCATTCAACAATTTTTTTTTTTTTTTTTTTAAAACGCACGTTATTCATTTTTTCAAAACAGATCATTCATCGCATGCGCGTGATGATATCAATTCTTTAATTATGTTCTTTAGGTAAGGGGGAATCCAGAATGGGTGGAAGGAAAAGGTGCGGCGGTACGCGGCACAACAGCGTAGGGGCAGCGTTATAGCATGATTGAAACGTTGTGGAATGTGTGTGGAAGGTGCGTAGAATGTGTGTGCAAATTGTGTGCACGCTTCGTGGAAGTTGCGTGGACGGCCGCCCTCCCGCCGAAGTCACTTTTTGCGGCGCTTCTTCAACCCCTGGAGCTTGGAGGAGCCGGCTGGGTTGTTCTTGGGCTCCTCCACGACGACCACCTTCGGTTTGGAGGGGGCCTCCGCCATCTTCTGCTTCTTCTTCTTGGACTTCTTAAACCCGGTCTTCTCATGCTTCGGAAGCCACTTCTCTGGGTCGTAACCAGCGTGGTTACCCATCCCGTCCTTTTTATTCTTTGTCTTCTTCGATCGCTTTCGTTTTTTTTTGTTCCTATCGATGGGGACTGTGCAGGGGGAATCGCTATGGACGTTTCCACCACCAGGGGTAGTAGTAGCACCCGTGGAGGAGAAGCCCAGAGTGAAGTTTTTATTCTCCAGATCCTCTACATCGATAAGGTAGGTCTCGGTGAGAACGGCCTTCTTCAATTTATCTTCATATTTATGTGTAAGTTCCATATTGATATACGTATATATATAAGTGAAGCAAGAGAAAAAGTGAAAATCGTTTTTGACATGCTTAGTCAAATGATCGAAGAGGTCCGTGAGCAGCTCTTCCTTCCCATGTTGTAGTAAATATTTGCTTACTAGAAAAACTGTCTCGTAATTAACGATTTTTAAATCTGTCCTGATAGCTTGTTTGTATTTGTTGAAGAGGTCAATCACTAGGGGGAGGTTACGCGGTGTGGCGATACCATCACCGTGGGCACCCTGATCGTCGCCACCCTTGGCAGAACCGCTAGGGACGCTGGGGAGGGAGGCATTATTCTTCCCCATCAGGGGAACCGACTCCCCTACATAATGAGCACATATATAAATATAAAACAAGTTGGAGAAAAAAGTACGGTAGTGATGGGCGTCCATCTTAAAAACGTATTCATACTTCCAATACATTTTTACTATCTCTGTGAAGCTTTTTTTCTCATAGCATAAAGATAAGTAGGCGTTGAGAAACTTGATCTTGTTCTGATGAGAGTACATGAGATGGATGTTCTTTAAGAGGTGGTGCTTACATTTGATGTGTGCATTTTCGCTTTTTAAAAAAAGAGCTATTAGCTTATCTAGCAGAATCGAATTTCCAAAGCGTGTTGTAAAACTTCTCAACTTAGATTTGAATTCATCCTTCTGGTCGTTCTTCAGGCTGTATACGCACTCATTGAAGAGAGCTATGGATTGCATAAATTGGCTCGCACCCTTGTGGGGGTCACATCTGCTCATTCGTAGGTGGCTTTTAATTTTGTTTAGTTTGTCCTGGCTGAGGGAGAAGGTGGGGGGCGATCCGGATGGAGCATATCCAGATGGGGATTTTCCCGATGGGGGAGGCCCCGACGACCCGAGTGCGCTCTTCCCTCTCGGCTTCACATGGCACACACTTTGACTTTCACAGTTATGCCTCAGTGCGAGGTAGTTGTTGTAGGCCACCAGAGGGATGAGTCTGCCACTACTTGCGGCGTCTCCCTTTTGGTCCTTTTCCGGGTAGCTTTCCAAGACGCTTTCATATATCGCTATGGCGTCCTTCAGGCGGTTTGACTTCGAGTATACGTAAGCCCTCTGTAACTGGACGAGCGTCCGTTTGTTCGTTAGTACATCCTCTCGAAGGAGAGAAACTCTGGCACTATCAGCACTTGAGCGTTTTCCTGTCTCTTCTGTGTGGCCCCGTGGGTTATCCTCTTCATCATCCGCACGGTCATCCGTGTTGTTAGCCCTTTCTTGGTCCCGTTCTTCCACCCCTTCCGCGATGCCAGAATCAGAAGAGCTTCCCCCCACAAAGGTGCTCCTACAGATGGCATCTGCCAAATCGAGAAATTTTACCGCTTCAGTGTAATTTTTCTCAACTATAAAAAAAGTGGCATAGTTAAATATCTGCTCAAAACTATCCCTTTCTTCTTCAAATTTAAAACCATCCGTGTTTGTTACGATTTGATTTTTCACCTCTTCGATGTCTTTCTGTTTCGCTTTATCAGAACTGACTCTCGAGTTAACACTTCGCAAAAAATTATACTCATATAAAAGTCTGAAGTAAAGGGAGAAGTACCCACTGTTGATATTAATCGAGGCCGCCACTGCCTGCTTGGCATTTTGGCACTCTACCAAATTTTCGTACCAAGCAATAGACGCTTCGAAATGGTGTAGTCTGAAATTTACCTCTGCCAGGAGTACATCCATAAACTGGGGCACATTCTCTTCCTTCTCAGCTACGTACTTCAAACATCCGTTCAGTTTTTTTAGCTTCTTCAATTTGTACATACAATAGAACAGCTCGAATAGAACGTTTTTCCTCTTAATGCATGCATAGTTTCCTTGGAAGAGGTCCTTAAATGTGATTCTCCTCTTTTTACCGACCGTGGACGCACCGATACCACCCTGTGCAACGTTCTTCGATTCATCGCCTCCCACCAACATGTGCATAATTTCGTGAAACAGCCTGGTAAACTCCCCCCTCTCAATGAGGCAGTAGTACCTAGCCCTCAGCGCGTACTCATCGCACTGCTCACTGGAGTAAATCTTCTTCGTTAAATTAAGCACATGTTCATATTTCTTCGATTCAAAATGGGATTTTATTTCGTCCAACGGGAAGATTTCCGACGCGTCCGCTTGGGCATTGCTCATGTTGGAGAGGGTATGTCAAAGGATGGATGCAACATTACCTCTTCTGTACACTTGTGCGTCGTGTAAGACGGGACATTCTCTCCCTTTAAGTCTGCTTCGATTTACTCCGTTTCTGTATGTTCGATTGGTCCATTCAGGAGTGTAACTTTTTTGCGAAGGAACTTTTCTGTGTCCCTTTAAGCTAAAACGTACAAAAAAAAAAAACAACAGCTCAAAATTGTCAAACGGAGGATGAGAAAGGAAGGGGGTAGTAACGTATTAGGTCCTTTTGAGAAGTTAAGAAAAAGAGAAAAGGTACTATAAGACGTTTTCTCAACTCCACACGGTTGGAGTTTAACCTAGAATGACGAATCTTTATATTTACCAGGTGATGAAACAAAGAAAAAAAAAGAGGAACGAAAAAGAAATGGCCTATTTTTTGTAACCCCAGATGGGGAGAAGCTAATTTTATTCTTTTCAAAAATGAGCAGAGTTATCATACGTTGCAAAGGGGCGTGTAGATTTTAACGTAAAACACCCGCATAGGGGAGGGAAGGGGGGTTGGCTCGCCTGAGTACCCTCTTCACATCACATGAGCTGTATGGAAAGGAAAGAAAGATACAAAGGTGTTAAAAAAAAAAAATGGGGGAAAAAAAAACATAAATTAGGTCTCACAAGGAATACAGAACGGGGAGGCCGCCCTTCACATCGATATATGGCTCACCGCGCAGGATTAGTGTTTTATTTAAAAATTGCCTCAAATTTTTTTTTGGCGAAAGATCGCACAACTGAGGGCAGAGTAAACGTACGGCATAAAACGACCCCAGCGTGAAGCTTCAATGTTTTCCTTTAGCATGTTGTGAAATTGTTACATCCTTTTTTTTTTAAGCCTCCTAGGCATTTGGCACCTTCGGCATGCGCGACGTGCAACGGAGAAATAAGCTTGTACACGTTCATATGTAATATATGTAAGGATGGAGCCGCAAAATGACGCATAGGGAGTGCGTTCCCAGGGGTAGAAGCCGGCGAACGGCGAAGGAACAAGTGTAGAAAGGCACAAACTCATTTTATGCCCCTCTCCCTCTTTAAATGCGCGGGGAAGGCCATTTCGATGAAAATTAACATGGCAACTTTTTCCAAGGCAGGCTAGCCCGATTTGTTTATCCGTTTATCGGTTTATTTATTTATGTATGTATCTATTTATGTATTTGTTTGTTCCTTTTCCTGTTTGTTTATTTATTCATTTTTTTTTTTAATATTTTTAAAACGTCTTTGGGGGCCCACGTTATGATGTACTTTTATATCACCCCTATAAAAAGAAAAAATCAAAGAGGACAACTGCACTGCTGTTCTTTTTTCGCCCGCGTTATTCTCGGATGGGTGGAAAGATATCCTCCCCTCGTGTGTGTACATGCACATTTATCACCCCTACGCGCCTCTTCGCTTTTAAGGCAGTCGTATGTTAACCAAGGTGCAGAAAAAATGCCTATCCTATCGGGGGAGAAGGGAAAGGGGGTCCGCTATCCATTTGGTCACATAGGTATCTGTTTATTTATAGGTTCACTTATGGGCCCACTTATCGGATCACTTATCGGCCCACTTATCGGCTCATTTATCGGCCCACTTATCGGCCTATTTATCGGCTTATTTGTTTGCCCCTTGTGCGGCGCAGACGCAGCATCCCCCGCACGGCCTCCGCATAAGGCGCAACTACTTGTGTGTCTACTAAAATGTTATACTTTTTTCTTTTTTTAGAATTTAAAAAATAAATATTTCATATGTTTAAAGGATTAGGGGAAAGGGAGAAGGAAATGGGGAAAAAGAAAAAAAATTAAAAAAAAGGGGATAATAATAATGTTTAAAAAAAAAAAAAAAACAACTACAACTTAGAATGCAGAGATAAAAAAAAAAAGAAGAGGGAAAAGGAAAAAAGAAAAAGAAAAAAGAAAAGGAAAAAACTATATCTTGAATCACATAATATTTTAGGTATTTCTAATTTCTTTTTTTTTTTTTCCTCTTAAAATTATAATCCAATGTTAAGAAATACATACACACTTGCACACGTGTATGCACATACGCGTATACACACATATCAGTATATATGTAACTATATCCTCATGATTATCCACATGACTATCCGCATACATATCAGCATATGTATGCATTTATATACGTCTATATACGCACCTATGTACATACTATACGGACATGGGCCTTCGCCTAGATTCGCACGCCGGTGTGCGTACACAACACTGCATTGTAAATATCGACCATTTCGTACAGGGGTATGGGGGCACACACACATATTCCTGCACCTGCATGTACGTGCGAATATGTGTGTGTCTCTGTGTGCAGAAACAGATTTGTCTATATGCGCGCCTTTACATGCCTGTATGTGTGTCTGTATGTGCGCCTGTATGTGCACGTAGATGTATAGGCCTATACGTAGGTACATACGTGTGGACACCCTTCTGTAGGGGCAGGGGGGCCTGCTCACGCATATTCACATGCGCCTAACGTATTCTTTAAAAAAGGTAGAAAAAATGGCAAAAAAAAAAAAAAAAAAAAAAGATGAGAAGTGCGAATACGTGTGGGAGCACACGTCCGGGCACATAATACACGTACAAGGGGCGCGAAACCACCAACACACATAGGCACACAACACAACAGGGCAGGAAAAGGCAGGCCAGGACAGCACAGGACGGGACATCCACCCACCAGCACACGTAGGAACACAGCACACCCACGCGCGCATGTACCTACGCACAAGCTATACACATTAAATCACATAAAGATGCTTTTACATTAATATGTACAATTAAACATATGAGAAGGTAGCAGAGATAAATTGGGCTCTAATAGGGTTCGTACAAATTTAAATCGAGAGGAGGGGTTTATTAATAACAATAGAGAGTACAGTGCGCGCGTGTGGGGGGTACCAACATGTAGAATGTGTGTGGTAGCGCGACCATGTGACTAACTCGTGCATGTGCTAAGGCGCAGGGATTCGTCTTCGGGCGCGCGGGAGCGCACGTGTGCAGGCGGGAAGGCCGACCGGCACGCACGCACGGTTGTACGCATGGCTATAAGGGCTGTAACGGCTGTAAAAGCTGTAATCGCGAATATAGAAAAACATGCACACACATATTGTGCGCACATTTGGGAGGATGTAACTTTTTCAGGCTAACAGCGCACAAGAACATTAAGAAAACAACGCGAGGTTCTTTTTTACCACACTTTATGTCGCGAAAGGGGAAAAAAATAGCACACATAGGTGCATACATACGTGCATACATAGGTGCATATATACAAGCATACATACATTCCTACATACATGCCTACATATATACGTAATCACATTTTATCATATATCTGCACATGGCTAAATCTTCACGTAAGCATTAAAGTTGGCTACTTAATTTCTCCCAAAATGGACGCTGAAAAATTGCTAGTTTTGCTTCACTCGGCCTTCCTGATCCGCCGTCTGGTCGAAGCGGTTTTTATTTTCTAACATTTTTTTTTTGTCCTTCTCCGATGCGTAGACGCAGGTCCAGTCAAACAGGAAGTCATACGAGAATCCCTCTCTGCGGTGCATACGTGGGGGAGGAGGTGGGAAATGGGTGAAAACGTGGAGCCACACGAATGGGTCACACATAGAAATGCTCAAAGGGAGTGTTCTACCAATATACACGGGTGCTCGCCCAAGAGCAAACATCATTCGCGCGGGGCATAATGATCGGCCTCGCTTAGTACACCCCCAAGTTGGTACAAAATTGCCATAATTTCTTCTCTATCTCCACGGCACCTTTTCTCTGCCGCATACTTCCTCGCGGTACTCACCTTATGAACAAATCCTTCAGGAGTCTCCTCAGGTAGGTATAATCGGGTCTATCTTCAAATCGTAAAGATCGACAGTAATTTAAATAGGTTACAAATTCGACTGCGGAGGGAAGTAGAAGAGGGGGGGGGATGAAAAAATGAGGCGGGAACACATGTGCATATCTGCGCGTATAATACGCTCCGTTGGATTGAAGCAAAGGTGGGGGAAGGGCGGGGGAGTCATCACATATGTTTCTCCTCAACACAGTGATGTCTCTCCATCGATAAAGCGTACACTTGGCGCATATCTCAATGGCTTATCATTTTGTCCTGCCCGCCACGAAAAAAAAAACACATTCCCTTATCAGGCATAAAAATAAGGGGAGCGTAAAAAAAGGAACGCATAAAAAATACTCCGCTCGCCTCTTCCTTACAGCTTGAATTTCTACACAAAACTTCTACAGAGGTGGATATTTTCTTTTCCATAATTTTATCGTATTTATCCTTCTTGGAAATAGCCTTCAGGCCTTGCCATGGTAAACTGCCTCGCAGGAAATACATGAGGACATAACCCAGGGCTTCTATATCGTCCCTTCGGGATTGCTCGATGCCTAGCGGGGGAGGAAAAAATAAAAAAAAAAATAAAATGAGTAAACTATGTAGAGGAACAATTTGACGAACATGGCACTCTTGCGGAATGTTGGTACAATTTTGCTGTTTCTTAACCACCGGCGTCGCTAACGCACGGAGGAAGGGCTCACCTAAATGTGTGTTTATACTGGCATATCTTGCCGTCCCCGTCAAATTTTTTCCCTCCTTGTAAGGAATGTGTGTATGCGATCTTGAATCTCTATACTTTTTCGCAAGTCCAAAATCGATGATATGAATTAGGGTAACTTTTTTTCCTCTTCCTGAAAAAGGGGGGATATACATAGCGCAAGTATATACTTGTACGAAGAAGTTATCATGCACAAATGTAGCTTAGGCGGGAAGACTGCACGTTGCCCAAATCGAACTGGGGTAATTACCACCGGACTTCCACTCTTCGCCTGACTTACCTATCAAAAAATTATCCGGTTTGATATCTCTGTGTATGAAATTTTTGGAGTGAACGTATTCAATTCGGTTTAACTGTGGGAGGGGGGGGGAATTTTAAAAAAATGAAAGAATATGAGCAAATATGAGCAAATATGAGTAAATAT